GGGATGAAGATGTGGCCAGCTTCCATTGACCTGTTTGAATGTTAGCGCGCGTTTTCTTTTGTGTTTCCACTAACGTTTGTTTTCTTATATTATTATTCTTATATATTTTATGAACAAATAAAAACAAGTGCTCTAGTGGTTGCCAGATGGATGCTTAAGGCGCTAGGAGGCTGGAGGTCAGGGGTTCGATCCCTGCCTCCAGCATTTGCCATTTTCTTGTTTTATTTCAGGAGATCCAATGCACGCTTGATCCTGACGTCCATCATGCTCCCTCATCATCCAACGCGCCAGATGGCCAGATGGCCAAATCTGGTGGCCACCATTACAAGCACACCATAAGCCCAGTCAAACACAATGCACAGGATTGCAAAAGTTAATGTGGATCAGCACTAATGGGCCAAGGAATTTGCTTTCTACACCTCCAATTCAGGTCCATCTCTCCCTTTTATATTTTGTTTATATTTTCATTTAATTATTTATTTATTTTATTTACTAACCAAAAACAATTTTCTTTTTTATCAAAAATCACAAAAAAACATTTTTTTATCCAATTAAAAATTAGAATATTATTTTTAGCAATAAATTAATTAATTTAATTAGGTTGATTAATTAGATAACTTTAATTTATTTTTGTAAATAATTAAAATCAATTAGAATCAATAGGTTTTATTTTACTAATTTAATTATTTTATTTCTTTCCTAAAATAACAAAAAAACTCCAAAAATATGTCATTTAATTGTTTTTCATTTATTAATTTAATTAACTAATTAATTTAGCATTTTAATTTTAAGACTTAATTTCTTTTCTTAAAAAATATTAAAAACAACAAAAACATTTTCTTTTAATTAAGAGGGTCAAAACCCTAGTTCTCGCATTCGATCTAATTTCCCCGCGTGTTTTATTTTTATCTAATTATTGTATTTGCTTCCGGTTTGTAATAATTAAATTAGGACATTTATTTATTTTTTACCGCTTTTAATTTCAAAGGGTTTGTTTTTGGCTATATAAATACCCGAAGCCTTGTAATAGTTAGTTTAAATTCCGCACTTTAATTTCTGCAAATATTCAACTGCTAGATTATTGATAATAGGGTTTGCATGACAAGAATGAATGACTAAATTTAAAATAGTTAGATCACCCTTAATTGTGCAAAGATAAAAATAACTTAAATCAACACATTCGCACATGCGCACTCCTAGGGTACACTCCCACTTGGTTGCCTTTGTAAACGGTCATTGAGTATAGGTTGTTTTAAAGGTCATCCTCTTGTCTAAAAGATCATAGTTGCCTCGGAAAGGTCACCTCGGATATCGTTGCCTCGGATAAATGATCTAAGACATTAGGTTTACCACTAAGACAATCTAACGTTGCTTTAGTGACCGTATGTCCCTCTTTCAAATTGACCCTCAAACTCCAACGACGGTGCTACCTACTCACTAATATTAGGATATCACTGTCTAAAGGAAGCAAACATAGAACGATTCCTTTTTCGAGTAGGTAGATTAGTTCTTAGATACTTGCTCATCCAAAACAAAACTTTTTCACACTTACACTCTTTTACGAACAAGTTTTCAAAAAAACACTTCATTACACTCTTGAAGACAGAAGCAAGAGTTAAATCGAACTTAAAACAAAAACTTTTCAAAACCCACAAATACAAAGAAAACAATTTTGAAAATAATGAGCAAGTACCTAAGATCCCATAGATAACTACGGATAGAAAGGGTGCTAATACCTTCCCTTTCTATAATCTACCCTCCGTACTCAGAAATATCTCGAAAAAGGAATTTTTCTGTGCTTTTTTCCTTTCCTTGTTGGATAAAATAAAAGTCGGTGACGACTCTTGCTTACCACGACATTTTGCAAAAACAAACGCAAAACGCAAACCAGCAAAATTTCCTTAACAAAATAGGGAAACCACGTCCCGGTTCTGGCCACCGTATCACAGAATCCACTTGGATTGGTCCACATACATCAGAGTATATGACTTCAAGACTAGCCTTTGATCTGCTTCCTGCATCCTTGCTGAATCTATTCTTGTGTTGCTTCGCCTGCACACATTCCTCACATACCTCTTGGAATGTCAATTTCTGGCAATCCTGAAACCATATTTCTTCTCTTCAAATCTCTGATGTCTCTGAAGTTGAGATGGCCTAGTCTATAATGCCATATCCATTCATCTCTGCTAGCTGCAGTCTAAAGGCACTTGTGCTCCATCACATTTAGTTCAATCTTGAAGGTTCGATTCTGAGACATAGGAGCCTTCAAGATTAATCTCCCATTTGCATCAACGACTCTCATCATCTTATCTTCGATTGACACTTTATAATTCTTTTCGACCAACTGCCCTATACTGAGCAAATTGCTCTTCATGCCTGGTATGTACAACACATTGGAGATTACTGACCTTTTGACATCTTTCCTCATAATCATAACATCACCATTACCTTCAGCTGCTAGGGTATTGTCATTTGCAAATTTTACCATATTTTTCATTGAGGGCTTTATATTGACGAACCAGTCTTTCCTTCCAGACATATGTGATGAACATCCTGAATCCAAGTGTCATTGGTCCTTGAATCTATCTTTATCTCTTGTTGTGACCATCAGCATCATCTCTTCTTCTTCTTCATGTTTTGCAAGCTTTACATCACTTTCTTGATTCTTTCGTTTTTCTGGACAATCACTCGAATAGTGACCATACTTCTGACAATTGTAACATTGAATGTGACTCTTATCAGATTTTCGACCACCACCTCTTCATCTATTTGCAACACCACCTCTTTGGTTGCCTTGGTATGGTCTTCTTTGATTCGACATGTTTCCTTCAATCTGGTTTCCTCTACCATTCGATTTTTTGTAGCCACCTCTACCTTTGTCGAAACACTTTCCTTTGCCTTTGATCTCTTTTGCTGAATGTGCCTGCAGGGCCACATCACTCTTCGATTTTCCTGCAGCTCTTTCGTTCATTCTTTGTTCATGAGATTCAAGCGTTCCTTGAAGCTCTTACTTTTTCAATTTCGATAAGTCTTTCCCCTCTTCTATCGCCACCACTATATGGTTGAACTTAGGAGCTAAAGATCTCAAGATCTTTGACACAACATCTCTTGTTATTAACGCTTATCCACATATCTTGATTTGATTTACTAGTTTTGTAACTCTAGTGAAGAAATCAGATATGCTTTCACTGTCTTCCATCTGAAGCAGTTCATAGGTCCTTTTGTGAGTTTGTAACCCCACTTCTTTCACTTTCTCAGCGCCTCCAAAAGACTTCTCAAGGATTTCCCAAGCTTATTTTACAGATTCTGAATCACTAACCTTTTCGAAATTGTCTGGGCTGACACATTGATGAATTATAAATAATGCTTTATAACTCAGCTTCTCAGATTCTATGTATTTCTTCTTTTCTTCTTCTGAAACATTTTCTCCAAGCGCTTCGACTCCATCTTTTACAAGGTCCCAAAGACCTTGACACTTGAATAAGATTTTCATCTATTTGCACCAATTCTCATAGTTGTCAACTTTCAGAATTGGTAGCATTGCTGGATAGTTTGCATTCCCATAACTTGTCATCGTGAATTCTTCAATCGTTCTTGATTGACACTTCCCTTGAATCGAAACAAAGCTCTTGATACCAGATGTTGGAAATCCACCAAAATCTATGATGAATTTCTACCGCAATTACAATTTAATTATGAGACAAACAAAGAAAAGAAGATAAGACAAATAATTTCTGCAGAGTTTCTCTCTGCTCACAAACTGTGAAAACTTTGTTATTCACTTGCAACTGCAAATTCTGTGAATATAACTTGCTTGACTTGCTTCCAAAATAGGGGTTACTCCCTCTATTTATAACTGAGCTTACACCCTAATCCCAAAGCCCAAAATATATATTTTGTTACTAAATCAAATCTAATCTATTCTAGACTTAAATCAAATCTATTTAAATCTAAAACAAATCAAATCTTTTCGACACATAGTTTCGACACATTGGGTTACAATTTAACAAAATCTAAAGGTTAAAATTTCTAAAATTTTAGACCATATTCGACAATCACACGGTATTGGGAAATACATATATAAATTCTCTTTATTGTGAACTTAAAATTAACACTTTGTAGAAAGGAAAAACAATTCAAAACTAAAAAGTTGAAAAATCACACTAATGAGAGATGAAAAATTATCTAATTGCAAAAGGTAAAATAAATTACTTGATTTGGTTGAGTAAATGCAATGATTTCACTATATTAAATTCAAAACATAATTATGATCCGAAATTCAATATAGTTAGAGATGAAAATTTGACTCATTCCTAGTGGTACCACAAAAATTACCCACAACGGGTGGAGTAAAAACCTGCAAAATGGATTAGGGAATCATTTTTAAAAAATGTTATAATAATAATTTTCATACCATTTATATATATATATATATATATATATATATATATATATATATATATATATATATATATATATATATATATATATTAGTTTTTTAAAATATGTTAGAAAAATATAACAAATTTTGTGCGGATATTTTAACCATGTAGAAAATATTAAATTCATCTAATGTATTGGAATTTATTGAGATTTCTAAAATAAAGACATTAATAATATTATTGAACTTTCAAATTCATGAAAATATTTAAATACAACTTATCAATCGTTCTAAATAAATAAAATAAAATATATAGAAATTGACAAATGAGTGTCATTTTTCATCCACTACTTTTTTTAGTCATATACACTATATAAAAGAGATTTTATGAGAATTCTTAATGTAGTAAATATTAAATATTACGAAAAGGTACGGCGTTTGAAATATATTGCCGCGATTAGATTTTCTAAGACAAATCACAGCACAAGAAAGAAAATACATACACACAAAATTTGGCTATAAAATGACCCTTCATACCCAATTTCTATATGTCATTTCTTAATCTAAAATTACAAACATACCACCTCTCTTTTTATCTTCTTTCATTTGTGCTTTAATCATGCCAAGCAGAAGGAAAAGTTGAGGTCGTCAAAAGATCGAAATGAAAAAGATGAGCAACGAGAGTAACCTGCAAGTAACTTTCTCAAGACAATGTAGCAGACTCTTCAAGAAAGCTAGTGAACTTTGCACCCTATGTGATGCACAAATTGCTCTTGTTATATTCTCACCTTGTGAAAATGTATTTTCTTTTGGTCACCCCAATATTGTTACATTCATAGATCATTATCTCTCTCGAGTTCCACCCTAAAACAACGGCATCATAGAATTCATTAAGGCTCGTCGTAAAGCTAATGCGTGTGAGATCAATACTCGGTTGACTCAAATCAATAACACACTATACATTGAAAAGAAATTTGGTGATGAACTAAGCCATTTGCGCAAAGAGTTTGAGGCTCAGTTTTGGTGGACTTGTTCAATTGATAGGATGAATTGGGCTCAACTTGAAATGTTCAAGAAGGCTTTGGAGAAGCTTAGAAACCTTTTTGAACAGCATGTTAATAACCTTGTAATTCAGAATACTCATACTCAAACTCTTCCATTTTGTGTTGACAATGTTTCACCATCTAACATCCCTTTCCAAAACCAATTAATTCCACAACAAGGTCAAATATTTTCACCATAATTTTATCAGAACCATTTGTTGCATCCTTAATTGTTTTATGGATCAATGAAATCTCACAGTGGCTTCAAAAAAATGACATAAGAAACCATTTTACATTATTGGTCCTTTTCTATGCCTGTTTTTGTCTAAATTTTATTTTTGTTGATTGCATACTCCGTATGCTTAATGATAATTTTGTCATCTTCTTTAATTAAGATCTAATAACTACTATTACATATTATTATGTTTTGATTTTCTATTGTTTATTTATGCATAACCGAGTGTACATGTATCTATCTCTTTTATAGCAATTGATAATTTATTTTTCATTTATAGATGAGTAAGTGTTTAATGATGGGATAAATGCAAATTGTGCATAGTCTTGGATATATCATGGCAACTTAATGTTGTTGGGTTTCATTATGAAGGAGTACTTCCAACTGATTTCATATTTTAATTATGGGGCTTTATTTCTGCTTGAGATTGTATATTTGGTATAGGATTATATAGATGCTCTATAATGAGGGCTAAGGAAATGTGACACACTAGGTTTCTCTATAATCATTGTACACGTATTGTAACACCCCACACATACATTTCCTAGGATATATGCATCTGGTATTAAAATGGTACATAATCATCCATACATAAGCAGCGGAAAATAGAAATGTGTATAAGTAGTGATTACAACATGCCAAAATCATCATGTCCAAAACAATACAATTCCCAATATAATAATATATATCCAGAATCCATAGAATAAAGATCCAAAAGAAAAAGAAACGAAACATCGCCACGAAGAACCATCAACAAGCTAAATCATCATACCCTTGTAACAATCCTGCCTCGAAGAACCTGAAAAAGATAATTGGAATGGAGTGAGATTACTAAATCTCAGTGAGTCCCCATATCTTAAGGCTTCACTCAGTTCTACATGGTGCATGCATCAAAATAGATCCACCGTGAATCTGTGTTTTCTCTCATGGTTGGGTACAAGCACACATCAACGGCACACCACTGTTAGAAGTCCCATAACTATCTAATGAGGTAAAACAAACATACAATCAAATACAAATAAGTATGCAGACACGTACCCATGTACGAGGAATCCAGGAGTCTGTCATTGCCTCTACTCAAGTTACACTATCACACCCTCGGTGAGTTTCACCCATACATCGCATTGAAAGACTTGCCCCGATCATAGCACGATGATCTGGATCATTCCTAAGTGGAATTCCACCTGTGACAAGTTCTAGAGTGACATTACCGATAAGGTGTCACAACTCATATGTCATCCAAACGTATATGATTAACTGCTGGGTCAAAAATGCCAATTCGATAACACGAGCCCACCGGGAAAAATCCTAATGGTCTTGCCTACATGGCACCATTAGAGGTGAGTTTAGTCGCATTGTGATATTGCCTACGTGGCATCACAATCCCACCATACCAAGCACACAATATTCTTAACTACTGGTGGAACGCCACACATGGACCCACACAAGCACATAACAATGGTAGCTAAGGTGTTATGACATACCGAGCACGCAAATGTGATCTCATCAAGTGTGGAAACACCCTGCCATTTTGATCCACAAATGCACATAGCAACAGTATAAATGACACATAAGGTCTACGTCATAAGTGATTTACGTCCTAGTTGACAAGCCTACTCCAATTCAAGCATACATCAAAACACAATGTGTATCAAGTCATAAGGCACACATCAATCCATACAATCACAACACTGAATGTTTAACCAGAACGACGGGCAATCACAATTGTCCCATACAATACCACATATTACATAACACATACAACGATCCATCCGAACGTTCAACCCGGAACGAACGGGAACATTTGCTAAATCATGTCATAGCATTTATCATATAATGTGATTTCAATATATAAATATCTACATATATATATATATATATATATATATATATATATATATATATATATATATATATATATATATATATATATATATATATATATATATATATATATATATATATATATATATATTCATATCATAACGAATAAAGGATCACTAATGTTAAAGAGGCGTCTAATACTCACCATGGTACGGAACTGCACTCAAGGGATTTCAATAATACAGTTATGTCCAGAAGGGCACGCTGAGCAGAGCCTCCCGCGCTAAGTGCACTCTGCAAAATAATTAATTTCCAAGTCTCGGTAGGGCACACTAAGTGGAATCATCGTGCTAAGCGTGATCTATGAATTCTCAAAATTTAACTTCCAGGAGGACGCACTAAGTGCGATCCCGTGCGCTAAGTGCAGGCTGCGAAAAAACAGAAAAACACAATGCAGAGGCAGTTTTACCATGGTGTTCCAAAATCCTATTTTCACCATTCAAATCAGTACCCATTATAAGAAATCATGAATTTAAGGTGAGAGTTGTGTTATTCATCCATAAAAACTAACACTCATTCAACAATATGATCTCTCCAACCCTAACCCCAACATGTCATAAACCCAATTTCCCCAAGTTTCTAATCTATGGGACTCACCTTAGATGTTGATGGAGTAGAAGTTTCAGCACATAATGAAGAGGATAATGATGGATCGAGAATTTGGGACATGCAAGAGATGATGGAGATGAGCTTGAAATGAGTTTTCCTCTTTTCCTCTTCTTTCACGCCTCTTCTCTCTTTCTATTGCACAAAATCTGATTTTGTTTTGAAATAATGAGAATAGAATAACCAAACAAACCCTTACTATCCTAATTTACATGGAAAAGACTATAATACCCCTCACTTGTATTAGTATCATCTCTAGTTCCATTCTTACTACTAATAACAAGTGTTTCGTACAATTATCTTTTACTAATCTATTCACAAATTAGTTAGTAGAAACAATTTTATTAGAAAGATAATTACACCGGGTATTACACGTATTTGGAGTGTTAGTGATCGTTCGATCAAGATCGAACTATTCAGATTTGATTTTTTAATTTAAAATTATAATCTTAAAGTTGAAATCAGTGAATAGTTAAACCATTAGTCTTTGATCGAACATCTATTAATACTTCAAATGTGTGAATTGACCGCATTAGAGAAACTGACACTTAAAAATGACACATGCTTAAGTATAAAATCTAAAGGTTAAAATTTCTAAAATTTTAGACCATATTCGATAATCACATGGTATTGGAAAATACATATATAAATTCTCTTTATTGTGAACTTAAAATTAACACTTTGTAGAAAGGAAAAACAATTTAAAAATAAAAAGTTGAAAAATCACACGAGAGATGAAAAATTGTCTAATTATAAAAGGTAAAAGAAATCACTTGATCTAGTTGAGTAGATGCAATGATTTCACTATATTAAATTCAAAATATAATTAAGATCTGAAAATCAATATAATTAGAGATGAAAATTAAACTCATCCCTAGTGGTACCCCAAAAATTACCCACAACGGGTGGAATAAAAACCTGCAAAATGGGTTAGGTAATCATTTTTTAAAGTGTTATAATAATAATTTTCAAACCATATATATATATATATATATATATATATATATATATATATATATATATATATATATATATATATATATATATATATATTAGTTTTAAAAATATGTTAGAAAAATAAAACAAATTTTGTGCGAATATTTTAATAATGTACAAAATATTAAATTCATCTAATGTATTGGAATTTCTTGAGATTTTTAAAATAAACACATTAATAATATGGTTGAACTTTAAAATTTATAGAAACATTTAAATACAACTTATCAATCATTTTAAATAAAACAAAATAAAATATATACAAATTGATAAAAGAGCGCCATTTTTCGTACACTACTTTTTTTTGGTCATATAAACTATATAAAAGAGATTTTATGAGATTTCTTAATGTGGTTACGAAAAGATACTGTAACATCCTTACTCTATTAATACAAATATGTTGTATAATTATATTTGGATATATATTAAGAGAAGTAGTAGGGTTATCAAGAGGAGTGAAAGGAATAGTTAGAAGCTAACTAAGTGGCATGGAAGTAAATACCACTTAGTTAAGGGGCAATTTAGTCATTAAACATCTTTGCATATGGACATAAGGGCTTGTTTGGGTAAAGAGATATAACAAATTAGATTTTATGAGAGAGAGAGAGAGAGAATAAGTCATGTCTCTCATTTGCAAATCTATTTCCGTATTTATGGAACAGCCTCCACAAATAAAGGTCATATCTCTTAGCTCACAACTTTGATCGAGGTGGTTCTTAACTTTTCGAAAATCTCACGAAATTCTCTATAATTCGAATATCATATTTGTCTTCTGCATATTTATGATCAGAGAGATAATCACGTTTGAAGTTGGGGGTCTGAAGCTGGTTTTTCTATACGAGTTCTTTGAGCAGCCTTCAATCATCAAACTATAACTTTTTACTTGTAGCTCTTTTTCATGTAATTCTTGCAATTCTGGAATCTACACAAAATTCCCTTTATTTTGATATATAATTTCATGATCATAACTTCTGTATTGAAGGAGAAAAGTGTGTTTGGAGTTGGATTTCTAAGCTGGAAATGGGTCAAAGTGTGGCTACGGATTTGATGATCATGAAGGTAGAAGTTTGAGCATGATGAGGATTCAATGGCAGAAAGAACACCATCCAAACCTCTATTAATTCTAAGTGAGTTCCATAATTAGAACTTATGGTAGAATTTGAGATTTTGACTTGAATTGGGGTTAAGGGTTAGTTTGAGAAAATTATGAATACATGTTGACTTTAAATGTTGAATAACATGTTCTTAATCTGAAAATTGGCGTTGTATACTTTGGGTATGTGAATTGAAGTGAGAATTGGGCTTTAGAATCCAAAAAAAAATAGAACTGATGATAATCTGGTTTTTCTGCATTTCGCAAACCGCGCTTAGCGCGCCCTCCTGATAGTTGAAATTGGAGAATTTGCATACCACACTTAGCACGCGTGGTCGCGCTTAGCATGCCCTACTAAAGCTTGGAAAATTAAATATTTTGCAGAG